CATGAATGGGGGAGGGTCAGAGAGAGAGGGAGACAGAGAATCGGAAACAGGCTCCAGGCTCTGAGCCATCAGCCCAGAGCCTGACGCGGGGCTCGAACTCACGGACCGCGAGATCGTGACCTGGCTGAAGTCGGACGCTTAACCGACTGCACCACCCAGGCGCCCCTGATGAAGTATCTTTTTAAAAACTATTTAAAAATGTAAAATACCTTACTTTTGTAAAGGAAATAAGAGAAATGAGGAATGAAAATGAGAGTAAAGAAGGAAGGAATTTGGCTGGGTGGGGAGGGGGCGGTTACTATCTTTTGGATTCTCACATAGGAATGAATGGAAATAAAGACTTCAGGAAATCACATAAAATATTTATGCAAATAATTATGTTTTATTTATGCCACTCCCAATTTAGAATGTTATTTCTTTTATCTGGAATAATCTTCAGCAGTAGCATTTTACTAGAAAGAGCGAAAGGTTCTTTTCATTTTGGTTTTTATCTCAATTTCCAGGGGCTGTGTTTTAGATGAATTTTTAAGGTCAAATTTGGTTCTAAACTGGGAGAAGAACATCACAGATTAAAGCCTTCCATGGGCTCACAAGTGCACAGTGACCTGGAGACTTACTTTCATATTCATACCCCTCACGTTATATAATATATATTAATGACAAATCCTGCAGAATATCCACATGCGTAGAGGGACTGTGGGTATCTGTCAGTGCTACCTCTGTGTGTAGACATGGAGAGGAGCAGAATTTGTCACCCCAGAATATGCCTCACTGGCATAAGGATTACGGTTTCAAAACAGCAGACAACAGGGAAGCTCTGAAAACTAAGTAGGCAGTTTATGCCTACACGGGACTCTCCACCTGCAAGGGTGTCCCCCCCCCTCCACCAAAAGGAGAATGGCTAAATCCGGAGAAGCTTCTGTCAGAGGGAAAGCCTTGTTTTACTGTGCCTTGCCTGAAACCCAGTTCTCCCCACATTCCATCCCCAACATCTTCTTTTGTCTTTTGCTGAAGCCCGGGTTTAAGGTGACAGTTTGGGCCATTTTGGGGAGTTGCCCAGTTTTCCTGGGTGTATGTGTGTGTACATATCATTAAAGCATTTTGTTTGTTTGTTTGTTTTCCTGCTAATCTGTTTTCTCTTGTGTGGGGTCTCAGCCAAGAAGCTACAAGGGAGGAGGGAAATTTTTTTCTTCCCTGACAGTAGCTTCTTTACTATTTTTCCTCCCAGTAAAAAGTTCATATTTTATAAATCAACACTTTGTAAACAGTATCTTTTCCCAATATTATAACCAAACCAACGTGAGCTGCTCCTTGGTGCATCAGGAACTGTACCTGATGAGTTGCCACACAAAGAAAACTTTATTTGCAGCAAACAAAGAGATCATGGGGAATGACTTCCAAAGCCCTGGCTCTCTGTGCAGGGAATGGGTTCCTTTGTTTAGAGTTAGGAGGGATATTTAGATAGGGGAGCCTCGTCATCATCTGTAGACGCAGACATAGGGTCGTGCGTATGTCCTAGGGAAACCTGCCTGCACACACACGCTGTGTGTTATGTAATGAGACTTGTGCTCCTCCTTGGGTGGAGATTTTAGTATTGCAGTGAGTAGAGGTAGTTGTCGGCCTTTCTAGAGGTCACACTGTGGTCCATTGGCTCAGGTGTGAGTAAGGGGTTGAGCTCAAACTGGTCAACATGGTCTGGGCTGGTTGGAGGTCTTGTCAGGACAGTCGCTCGCTTGCTCACTTGAGGGAAGGTTTTGCTTTCCATTTGCCTGAGTTAAGAGATAAGCTGGAGAGAGGAGCTCAAGGGAAAATGTGAGATAAAGGTCGGTGAATGCAAGCAGATGGGCAGTCAAGGTCAGATCTTGGGGTCTAGCTGGTAAAATATGACATAAAAACCTAAATTATGTATTTTGGTAATCCTACATACACCCACTCTTACGCACTTGTACTCCATTTTAAGGAGTCTTAATGACCCAGAGAGGTAGAGAATAGTTAGATTTGTTGCTGACAGATTGAAAGAAAGAGTTTGATAAACACTCAACTGTGTCTACCATTGACTTGGTGATGACATATAAGGGGTAAGGTTGTGTGGCATTTAAGTGCAGAAATACTGCTTATGGGATATTCAGATATTTTTCCACATCCATATCACATCAAATGTTATCTAATATTTTTTATCAACTTTGATTGATTTGGCATTTTGAAAAACTTTATCCTAAGCAACCATAATTTTTGAAATGTCAGATTTGATGAGCCAGTTGTGTTTTTTAAAATTTGCAAGAAATGTATGAATTTATGCCAAATTAGTATTTTCAACAAAATAGTGATTGCCAGAGGGGAGATGGGTGTGGAAGGGCAAAACGGGTGAAGGGGAAAGGGAGATACAGGCTTCTAGGTATGGAATGAATAATTCATGGGGATGAAAGGCACAGCACAGGGAATACAGTGATATTGTAATAACGTTGTGTGCTGACCAGTCATAGCTCCAGGTGTGGGGGGCGTGGCATAAAATTGTACGTTGCATCACTATGTTGTACAACTGAAACTAATGTGACATTGTGTGGCAACTGTACTTTAATAATAATTTTTTCCGTATGTACTCAAAACTCATACATTTACAGTATAGTATTTAATTTTTTTTATTATTTATTTTTGAGAGAGACAGAAAGACAAAGAATGAGTGAGGGAGGGACAGAGAGAGACGGAGACACAGAATCCGAAGCAAGCTCCAGATGCCGGGCTCAAACCCACGAACCACGAGATCATGACCTGAGCTGAAGTCAGAAGCTTAACTGACTGAGCCACCCAGGTGCCCTAAAGTGTTAAGTTTTAAAGCTAATTTGTGGAGCACCAAAATTATCTCATATGCCATTTGCTGCTCCTACTGTACTTTCAACTATACTGAATATAATAAACAAAGAAAATTTACAATTAAAGAAGGACTTCTTAAAAATCTCTATCCCCTATACATTCAACCAATCATAATTATTAGTATAATCTTGTAGTGATTAATCTTGATTGTATTCACCCCTTTTTTGAGAAGGAAAACCTGTCCTCTGCTTTCTTAGATTTACTAACTGGTGACTTGCAGATTACAGGTCCAATGTGTCTTCCTTGTGTCCTCCTGATGAACACTCTTTAGATAAATATAATTAATATGAATTTCTAGTGAAATCACTTCCACTCCTTAACATGGGCTTCACATAGTGATTTCTTCCCAAAGAAATGAAAAAGGAAACAAGAAAGAATAACTTTACAATGGGGAACCATGATGAACAGAAGCTCAACCAGGTGATCAAGGTTAGCCTAAATCATGAGTCGTGTTAATAATAATATACTCTTGATATAATGTGATGAAATGATGCTGGATCTCTTTGGTCTCCCTCCCCAAAATGTACCACCCCAGCCTGATCTTGAAAAAAACATCAAGTCCCCAATGAGGAATATGCTCCAAAGTGCCTGACTCGTTCTCAACATTGTCAAGGAGATGAGAGACAAGGGAAATTGGAGAAATTTTCATAACCAAAAGGAGCCTGAGGGGACATGATGGCAAATTATAAGTGGAGTCCTGGATGGGATCCAGAAAACGGACATTAGATAGAAACTAGGGAGATCTCAGAAATATGGATTATAGCTAATAACAATGTATTGTCACAGCAAGAAAAGCAACAATGACAACAACACTGGGCCAGTTTAAGTGAGTAGACAAGATCTTAGTCAAGGCTGTTTCATAATGAAGAGACCAGAATGCGTTCTGAACTCAAGTCGGATGAAAGAAGGGATAGAGCATTGTTGAGATCTGAGATAGGAATTCTCTTCACAAGAATTTCTCTTTCTTTTTCTTTTTGTTTTCTGTACATGTAGGAGATGGTGGATGCTAACTAAACCTATTGTAAAATCATTTCACATATATGCAAGTCAAATGTTGTGCATCTTAAACTCATGCAGTGCTATATGTCAGTGGTATCTTGGTAAAATAGGGGAAAACAAAACAAAACAAAACAAAACAAAAATCCCTGTTCTCATTGTTCCATAACGTAGTGGAAAAAAGAGAACATTGAATAGATAGTTCCCATTATTGCTACAAGGGCACTCTTCGTAGAAGCTGTGGTTTTAGAATCCCAAAGAATAAAGAAACAAAATAAGACAGTTATAACCTGGAAGCTTGGAAAACTAGGTTATTTCAATGGCAACATCATCCTACCAGAAGACAAGCAATGCTGGTCTCAAAATAATTTATAATAGAAAAGCTTATGTGAATCATTAAACAGCATTTCTCCATTAAGAGTATAGCACATCTGGTGGGTTTTTTTCTCTTTTTTCTCCCTTCATTTTACTCTTTGTTTCTTTTTTTCTTTCCTTCTTTTTTTTTTTTTTTTTTTTTTTTTTTTTTTTTTTTTTTTTTTTTTGTTCAGGATGTGGGTTTTTTTCATTTTTGTTGTTGTTTGTTTTTGGAAGTAACCAAAATTCGTCTAAAATGTATCTAGATTGCTTGAAATATCATCAAAAGAGAGAGAGAGTGAGCGAGTGGGTGCATGTGCGTGCACCAGGCTGGGCTTGTGGTGGAGGAATCAATAGCCAAGAGTTTTTGCTAATTGGTCTTCCCAAAGGAGAAGTGAAATGGCTTCATTTCTTAAGGATGGGAGATATTTTCACAATGTGGCGCAAGCCTCGTGTGGAGGGTAGGCTCCTGTCCTCCCACGGAGACAGGGATGTGGGGGCTCTGTCTTCTTCAGTGATTACTTTCCAAAGGGACAGCTCCCAGGTCCTTGAATAAGGGTGCTGGATTGTAAAACTGGAAGAGGTCTGAGCTGGGAGAAGATTGCCCTCTCAAAGGGCTAAGAAAGTATTGCAGTTGCAAGTTTTCTAAAGTAAATGCTCTAGGAGAGGTCGGGTGCCTACGATCAGGAAGAATTCTGTCTCCAGTCTAGTCAAGCTGATGGGAACGTGAAGTCCATCTCGTTTTTTTTGTTTTTCTTCTCTGTTTTCCTCTCTCCCAGGACCGGGCACAAAATCTGAATGAGCGGCGAACCACCACCACCACCCTCACGGTGGATATTCTGGACGGAGATGACTTGGGTCCGATGTTTCTTCCTTGTGTCCTTGTGCCGAACACTCGTGACTGTCGCCCGCTCACCTACCAAGCTGCCATACCTGAGCTCAGAACTCCGGTAAATATATTCCCATTCTTTCCCCTTTACTTGCACCTCTTTGACCTCAATGAGACCCCATTCAAATATTTTGCAAACATGTCAGTGGAGAATAGCAAACTAAACGGTGCGGGTGTTGAAAGTATTTATGTCTAAAACCATTTTCAGAGAGTATGGCAGAGTTTGGTCACCACACATTATGGCATCATTTACAAAGTCGAAAGTGTGTCGCACAGCAACCACCCATTTGACACTGATTGTTTTATTCTTTCCACCTATAGATCATAATAGAGTTCAGTTGCCAACATGTTCTAGGAAACTCTAAGAAATAATTTCAGTATTTCCTTAAATTTATAAGTCCTAAGTCAGAACACATACAGGTCAATAGAGTACTTTTCAGCCTCTTAAGAGTTGTAAAATCTTATTGGAGATTGTGCTTGGCTGTTTGGAGGTGGAAGCTAATGAATTCTGAATGCACATTTCTATTCTTAAAGATGTGTTTTAAAGAAGCAGAAAGGTAAGGCATGAATACTTATCTTTTACACTTGATTCTACATCTGTTTTTTTTAATACTCTAATAGAGCTATAAGTTGCTGTCAGCTTGGTATTCACACCTTGGGCCTGGGTAATAAATATTTATACCTAAGAATAAAAGTTATAAGGCAAATATATATCCTACTTACACTAAAATATCAATTTCTCCCTTAAAAATAAAAATAATAATAATAATAATAATAATAATAATAATTCTCCTTAAAAGGAGCCAAATTCCTAGGAGATTAGTATCCTTTCTTGACTAATGTCTTTGCTGTTCTTCTGTTAAACATTCAGCTTTTTCTGGGTTCGAATGTGTCTCAGGATGTCAGACTTTGTTGGGAGGTATTTGAGGTGTTTTTTTTTTTTTTTTTTTTTTTTTTTTTTCCTCTCAAACGCATAAGAACTGTGGTTTGGGGAATCCTCTCTGTTTTTGAGATTTTGAAAGAATAAAAAAAGAAATTCCTTCTCCTGAGTGTAAATCATGTTGCATTCTGTGCGCTTCTAAGGATCATTATCCAATGTTGCATCTCTGAGCTTTACTTTGAGATCTAGTAGATCTTAAATGGTTGAGATTTACTCCTGTGTCTTCCAGCATAAGTAACTAGTGGTCTAGTTGGCTTGTGTGAAGCAAAGAAGCTGGAGGGGGGGGGGGGAAGAAATGTTGTGATGTGCATTTCATGAAGAAAATAATGTAAATTTTCAGCTAAATGGAGTAATTTCAAAGACAAAAAGGCTAATGTAGAACTTGTCGGAACAAATAGTTGTAGATGACCTAAGGTTATATGTCATGGTGTGATTTTGTTGAATATACCAGCAAGAAGACTACTAATGAGAGTGAACATTATTTTTTGAAAGCTTAATTGAAATTATGAGGAAAATATTTTCAGTATTAATTTATCTTTGAGTTGATTTATGTAGCTGTCGTACCAATGAGGTCACAAGAGAAGGGGCACAGAGACACAGTGACTAAAATTGGTGGCTCAGCATGATGACTGTTTAACAGTATTTGATGTATTGTTGGTGTTTGGGAAGCAGAGGGCATTGGTTTTATAAAGCACCTCTGAGCACCCTTCCTGTCTCTTCCAGATAGCAGACTAAGCATCTCTGTCATTCCTATGCAGTTTCACGGTAGGGACAAGGCCATGCTCCAGATTTGGGGAATAAAAATAAATTCTAATAGTGACTAGTGGTTGTAGAGATTGTTCAGATTGTCGTGAACTGTGCTAAACTCTACGGGAATATTAACTGAAATCCTGGTGGGTACCTACCACTATTATGGTCACTTGGTAGATGAGATGTCTGAGATAAAGGGTTTACATAACTTTCATGGTCTTACAACTAATAAGTAAAAACTGTCTTCCTGTTTTTTTTTTTTTCAAAAAAATTTAATGTTTATTTGCTTTTTGAGAGAGAGAGAGGGAGAGAGAGAGAGAGAGAGAGGTGTGAGCCTGGTAGGGGCAGAGAGAGAGGGAGACACAGAATCTGAAGCAGGTTCCAGGCTCTGAGCTGTCAGCACAGAGCCTGATGCAGGGCTCGAAATCATGGACTGAGAGATCATGACTTGAGCTGAAGTGGGACGCTTAACCATCTGAGCCACCCAGGAACCCGAAAAGCTGTTTTCTTTTAAAGTCATGTATCTTGAATTAAATACTATGCTATAAAATCCAGAATGATCAAGCTTTATGCTTCATCATCCTTTTTAACAGATTGACCCATTGTTTAACATTCTGTGAAATGGAGAATTTTAATTTTACAAATTTCAGTAGTTAGGGCAAATATTTGCTTAATCAGGGGCATATTTTTATTGCCACATAGGAAAATTAAACATATTTACTTGCAAAATTAGGCGCTTGATCTGATTATTAATCACTGCATGAAACTTCCACCAAGATTCACATGTCTTCACATTACAATTTTTAAATTTGCTCATGAAAGCTGCAGTTTTGCCAGACTTGAGGGACCATCCCATCTGTGCTCCATCAACTGGGACACCTTGCCTGAGGCCTGGGTACCACTTTCAGAATGCTTAACTTAGCAAGTCGACTCTGACTGTTGGCCAGAGCTCAGCTGGGGATGTGAGCTGGAGGCTTCATTCCGTCTCCACACGGGGCCCTCGTGGGCTGTTTGGGCTCCCTCACAGCAAGGCACTGGGTTCTAAGAAGGGGCTTCCCAGGGGAATTGGGCAGAACTTTCATGAACTGGACTCCTAATTTGCACTGCCCCCTCTGTGTCATTAAACCTGGGCCACTTTCAGGGACTAACGGTATGTACCAGCTCCTGAAGGGAGGAGGGTGGAAGAAACATTGTAAGAACATCTGGGGAAGGAAATCTTGTCGTGATGACGGCTGGAAAGTAAGATCTGCCATGGAGCCGCCATCCGGGTTTCTTGTGCTGTTCCACCTGCCGCTTGGGGTCCCCTCTGCTTCACTAGGGTTGAGAACTGGAGCTCGGTTTTGAGTTGCACATTCACATTGCTGTCTTTATGTCTGTCTTTTTATTTTTTTTTTTTTACTCCTTTTTAAAAACTTTCCTTTACATATTTGGCTAAATTTTCTGGAAATTTCAATAAATAAAATCTTGCTATTTAGAGCAAGAGAACTAACCATTTATATCAACTAAACAAGACATGATGACTGTAATTACATACTTGCTGATCCTTTTCTCAACAAATGCTTCAAATTTTGAAAGCTTTGACACCTGTTCACCTTCTGCGTTGATGTGAAATTTTCCACCAATTACCTCACTGGTATTCTTGACTTGAAAAGCCATTCTTAGCTCTGCCGCAGTGCATGCAGAATTTATCAGCTCAGAAAAACTTTACAACATGGTCTGGCACAGTGTTTAACTCATGAACCAGGATATAATAAAAGTCTACTGTTTAGTGAAATGCAAATAATCATGTGTTTAAATATAAACTTATTTAATAAATATTTCATATGTTTTTCTTTAACAGAAAACTGTCTTCAGCAAAAGTTAGTGTCTTCACTAACACCAAACTTAATATTATATTGAATATGTAAATATATATACCTGATGTCTCTGGGTACTAATGCAATTTGCAGCCCTGTGCTAATAGTCATTCATTTATTAATTTGATGAATATCTAGTGGTCCCTAATATATACTCAACTCTGTGCTAATTGAGGAGATGACAACAAGGAGGAGATGAAAACTTTCCAGTATTGTGTAAATTTGTTCTCACTTTTTTTTAAAGTCTATGTATTTATTGAGAGAGAGAGAGAGAGACACAGAGTGTGTGTGTGTGTGTGTGTGTGTGTGTGTGTGTGTGTGTGTGTGTGTGTAAGTGGGGAAGGGGCAGAAAGAGAGAGAGGAGAGAGAAAATCCCAAGCAGGTTCAGCACTGTCAGCGCAGAGCACAATGTGGGGCTTGAACTCACAAATCATGAGATCATAACCTGAGCCAAAACCAAAGTCTGTCACTTAAACAACTGAGCTACCCAGGCGCCCTTATTCTCACTTTATGACTCTATTGAGTTGTTATTCTGCCTATCTAGTTGAAGTTTCTTAGTGTTACAGAACAATTCTGTAGAATTTGGAGAGTATAGAATCCCCAGCTCTATTTTCCTTACTTTCTGTAGAAGTGCAAAGATACAGTGGATCCGTACACAGTTTTGTTTTGGTTTTTATTTCCTTTCTGAATTGAAGGGTTAACATACTGTTTGGTTGATTGGTTGGTATTTTGCTGGGTAACTTGTCCCCAGAGAGAAGCACTGTAGTATTAATATGATAATATTGACATATTATCTATGTGAATACTAGATGTAATCAATTTATTACACTTTTTTTAATTTACAGTTTATTTACTATGCCGTGTAGTGTCCTGTGTTTCAGCTATAGTGACTGGCCAGGCGTGATCATCTGGTAGCTAGGAGCCATGCTTGAGTGAGTTTTTCCTGTCCCTGTTGGGTTGGGTGGCAGGAATATGTGGCCTCGAGCACCTGCACCACTGTGATCTGTCTTAGCGAATGCTGGTGTTCACCTAACTGTCCAGAGCAGCTCCTGTCCTGATTTCATAGCGCTCTCCCGTTCCAGGGAAGCTTTCCCAGTATTACAGGAGTGGTGGCCATCTTCAGGAAATTATACAACACTTATAATTTCCTCCAGACTCGTGCTTGTTACAATCCAGGAACTTCCCCTTTTCACCTTTTATGAAACTACTGGTTGTTCTGCCCTGGGTTTCTCCTCCTATGTCTTTGATGGCCCTGGATTTCTCCTCCTATGTCTTTGATGGTCCTGGGTTTCTTCTCCTATGTCTTTGATGGTCCTGGGTTTCTCCTCCTATGTCTTTGATGGTACTGGGTTTCTTCTCCAATGTCTTTGATGGTCCTGGGTTTCTTCTCCTATGTCTTTGATGGCCCTGGGTTTCTTCTCCTATGTCTTTGATGGTCCTGGGTTTTTCCTCCTATGTCTTTGATGGCTTGCCCCCTCTACTCCCCAATTAAATGTCTCTTCTTGAATTTTCATT